TTTCCCTATGAGGAAAGCTCACCTATTGCTCAACTGAGGCTTTTTAAGAAAATTTAGTAAATTCAGCACATATTAACATAGTCACATCAGGAAATAAATGGATATGGTTCTTCCCCTTCATCTAATCTCTGTCTATCTCCCTGAAAATATGGAAACATTGCCATTTTCCAGAGAACTTCAGTTCTACCGGAGTTCATAACTGGTCATTCTCTCTTCATAATGTATTCTGGCATTTTTCTGGCATTTTTTTTTCTTGGTGCAGATGGAGTCTGTGAATAAATATGATCCCAGCTTGCTTCCAGGATGGCCTCTACTTCAGATAAAGCACGTGCCCCTGCAACCAGGGCCCAGACCCTAGTGCCAAGTTTATCTACTCAGAACCATAAAAACCAGACCCACATTCCTGAAGGCTGATAGCCACATAACCTAAATTTAGACATCTAGAAGTTAGGCTCCACATCTGCTTTAGTCACTGTTAGCTCTCTTTACAGTCATAGAAGTAAACCAGTCATCTTCACAGTGTGTTTTATCTCACCAGCTTAACCAGATTTAGGTAAGATGAATTGTCTCTGCAGTCCTTTTTCTCTTACCACCAAGAGGGATCTTCCAGTCCCTAGAACAGATCTTTTAAATGATTCTTTCTATAATTTTTAAATTTTTAGGTAGTGAAGCCCACACTACAGAAATGTTGTGATGATTCTGGGACTCCAGAATTGCTTTTCTCAGAGGCCAGTTTTCTGGAACTAGCAGTTAGATGTTGTCTCTAACTTGCTTGACTAGCAAGAGACTTGAAATGAGATTTTGGATCTAGGCAGTGATCCATGGAGCTACTACTGAAGGTTTGCCTGAATAGCTGCAGCTGGGAGGGGGTGGTGGGTTGCTGGATTGTTGAATCCCAGAGGAACACATGCAGTTCCCTGATGTCCTGCCCTGTCCTCTCCTGCTCAGGAGAGAAAGCACCTCAAAAATTATAAGCAGCCAGTAGGTCAACCTGAGGAGATGACCTTCCAGGAGGGCATAATACAGTATGAGATATCCCTTTAGTCATTTGGAGTCAGCTGTCCCATCTGTGTCCCCTCCCAAACTCTCGTACAGCCCCAGGCCACTTGCTGGTGGGGTGAGAAAGAAGAAAGGCCTTGAGGCCATGTAAGCACTGCTCAAGAACAGCTAAAACAGGGGTATGTTAGCAACACTGTTTTCATCACAGATTTGAAACGCAGACCTACACAAGCTACTATGAAGAAAATTAACTCTATCCCAGACAAAGCCAGTACAGTGACCATCCCAATACCAGGCCTTGACAAGATCACCATAGCCTATTTAGTATAAATGTAAATGGTAGAAGAAATTTTCAGCATATAGAACACAAGCTCTCTTCCAAGTTGTCTGGCCAAGATGCCACCGGTGTTTATTCTCCGCAGAAGGAACAAGGGGCTTCCAAACACAGAATGCTGGTGACCTTCATCCACACCTAGAAGGCATTTCTCTTTGCTCTTAATAACCTACAAATGTAAGTCAGTTATGTGCATGGCCCAGCTCAGAAAGTTTCAGAATTAACTTTTTCCTCTGGTGTCCTATTACCTAAATGTGGCACTTCCCCAAAGAGCGTCCTGGCCTCCTGTTTACTGAGTGCCTTCTGTAGCACAGCAACTTTAATGAAGTCCCAGGTTACTTTGCCTCATCAGCTTTAATCACATGCAGCACAAAGCTCTTTCTCACTGTGAAGGGGATGTACAAATGAGATGTGTTAATGAGGCCACAGGGTCTCAATTTGAACCCAAGATTTTGATAAATTAGAACACAAGAAAAATGCCTCATAATGTTGTCCAACCAGATTGTGAATTATCTCTGGTGAAGCAGAATTTTCCCGACTGCAATCTCAAAGTGTTATCGTGTAAATGAAGTGCAGAGGGTATTGTTAAATTCGTTATCAACACATTTAATTAGTGACCTTATTAAACATTTCCCAGAGGGCTATGTTTTAACTTCTCTGCTAACTTTTGCAAAGCAATTACTCCACCATGACTAAAAGATCTATTTCACTGGTAAAACTTTGCCTGTCCATTCTGCCACCAGTGAGCACAGTTTGCAATGTCACCTCCCTTTCATACTTTGTAAGTTTTGAACTCATGAACTGCCTTAATGCCTGTAGCTCATATTTTGGCTGTCATAACCCCGTGCAGTAGTCTGTGTGCTGCCACCTTTTATGGCCTCATATGTGATGGCCCCATCTGTGGCCAAGTCCCACAGGTTGCCCCTCAGTCACCAGATGCAGCAGGACAGGAGAAGAGGAGGAACATGGGTAAAGGAAGGCCCCTTCCAGAAGGTTCGTAAGGAAAGCCTAACTCCAAAATGGAGTATTTAAAACAGCTAGATAAAAACATACATTAGTGCAGTGTTCAAATGGAAAAATTGAGCTCTCAAATTGTGTAAATATAGTAGGGTGTATGGCTTTCCTTAAATCATTAACTCATCATATGCACACATTGTGTACTCTCTGTCCTCTAAAATACATTGATACCCACTAAACAAGGAAGAAAATACTTAGATACAGTAAAAAATAGTGTTCTACAAAAGGCTTTTACATCTGTAGTTTTTCTGTCTCCACATTACTGCATCTGAAGACCTAATTCAGAAAAAAAGGAGGTGCCTATTTGTAAACACTTTTTGACTGTCTGCTTCCATTAGGCATAGCCTAAATTTCATGAACTTCTATGATGAAATGACAGGCCTCATAGACGAGGGGAGAGCAGTGGTTATTGTCTGCCTAGACTTCAGTAGGGCTTTTGACACTGTCTCCCATAAGATCTTCATAGTGAAGGTAATGAAGTATAGGCTGGATGAGCAGATAGTTAAGTGGTTTGAAAGCTGGATGAATGGCCAGACCCAGAGGGTTGCAATCATTGGCACAAAGTCTAGTTGAAGGCCAGCAACCAGTGGTGTACCCCAGGGGTCCACACTGGCTCCAACCCTTTTTAACATCTTCCTTAATTATCTGGATGATGGGGCGGAGTACACCCTTCCAAATGAAATCCTTCTGTGATTCTATGAAATTTAATTCCTCTAATATTTCTGACTTTGTAGATTTTTTTATTAATATCTTTTCATCTTCATGCTTTAAATCCAAAATCCAACCAACTGCATGGATAGTTGAAAATGTTTCTTGGTGATGACTGTGCCGTAGCCTTTGTAAAAAAAAATTGTTTCCTAAGAGATCAGATCCACACCTAACTTAGGCAGTGGGAAATCCACAGCCCACTCCTAGATGTCTGGACTTCTTTTTTCCCATAGGTATAGGAAAAGTCAGTCTCCTTAAACACTGAGTACTCACAGCATACTGACTAGAAGATATCTGTCAGGTTAAGAGAGATCACTGAAACAGAGTGCATCCTATACTCTCTGGACTTTCTCAGTTACAAACAGAAGAAAACAATTCTTGTAGAAAATTTTCAGCTTGTCTTTTGCTCTGTATTGCCATGATTTCTGCTTTACTGAAGCCAGCCCAGAGGAGTAAGAACAGGTATTAATAAGTAACCAAATAGTTCTCTCCAATCAATAATTAAGAACAACACGGAGATGATGAGGCACAATATGGAGGAAACTCACAGGGTGTGATAAAACTAAACTAGTTTGCCAGTGAAAATATTGACTACAACAGTTTCCTGTCCACACTGCCTTTGCAGTACAGCAGTGCCTCATGCAACTAATTATCAAAGAAAATTTCTGAGGTCCTGTCTGTAGTCTCACTATAATCCAGTTAAAGAGTTTCCTTTAGAAAAGTTTCAGCTATATTCAGCTACATTTGTTATCAGTTTTAGACATTTCATTTCTGAGAGGTGAGACATCACACTGTTCCCCATCACTGCCTTCTGTCCTCTGCTAAAGGCGGACTAACAGTGAGGAGCAGAGGACACTACTTTCTGAAGGTAATACTTTTTTAAGTCTAGCCTCTATCCACAGACTTATTTATTTATTTAATCTAATATAATTGTGTCTGCATGGATTTATGCATCAGTAATTTTTTAAATAAAGGATCAACTGTGTGAAGCTTGGAGATCTCACACTTGATTATTTGAAAATAAAATTACTAGATACACTTCTCTCAATAAATACTGACAGGTCTCAAAGATAACATAATTCTGTTTCACAAAATAGCACGATTTTAATATTATTGTAAGTGATTCTGTTGGAGATAATCCCAGAGATTCACATTTTATTTCCCATAGAAAATGTTCTTTTTTGTCTTTAAAGCAGCTGCCATGAAGGCAGACTCCTTTAAGTGTTCTTACTTTTCCTTTAAATTATTTAAGAACTCATTATTATTTTCTTCCCTGTTCTTTTAACATACAGTATCACATTCGATAAAAACCCAGTCTCTACTGAATAAGCATCATTTTCCCTTGGACTTGTAGCTCATCTTCGATATAGCTGCATGAGGATCAACATCGAGTCTGAACATCCACCTTTGACCTCAGAGCACACAATTTATTCACATTAATAGTGAATTAACTTTTTCTTTTCTTGTAAGAAAAGAAATACTAGCTTTCCTAGGGTTTTTTAATTACTATTTTTTTTCATAAATAACAGATTGTCAAATAACAACAATAGATTGATTCAAATTAATGATTCTTTTTGTCCATCTCTGCAATTTATGGGGAATATTTTCTTCACACTATGTGAAAGCTACATACACAGCTAGCATTACTGTATGTGCTGTTTCAGCTCATTAAATTACAAAAGGCTAATCTTCTTCAAAGTTGCTAAATATTTCATTTCTAAATTGAATTAGAAATGGTAATTTAAAAAAAGATGTAAGATAGAATGTATTGGCCACTAAAATAACTAAAAACCAGAAAATCTTTTCTTCACCTTTAACTTTAGCCTCTCCTTCCAAAGACTCTTTTTGGCATGACTTGTACCTATCTAAAGTCACCAAAATAGCTCACCTGTACATGAAGGTAAATGAATTAATAGAGCAAACAAAAATAATAGTCTTGGGAATAAAGACACTTGGCTTTGTTTATCTCCTCTTGTCGTAAACCCCTACATTATATATATACTTTTAACTCAAAGTCTCCTGGGACTTAAATGTAGTGTTATAAAAGAAAAGTAAGTGCCCACTTTTCATTAATCTGGCCCAAGTTACAAAAGAAGTCTGTCTTTACAGTCATTCCAGTTTTGCAGGACAATAATGAAACAGGAAAATACCTACTTAAAAGACCTACTGCTGGTAAAAGATGCAGGTAGGGTTAAAAAACCAAACAAACAAATCTGAGCTCCAAGCATTCTTTTAAATCTTTCATTGCTCTGTTTCTATATTTTCTTCATTTCAAGGTGACACCTATTTGAAAAAGTCAGTGAACCAAGCTGGTTACCCAGTTCTTTTCAAGTGGATTAAATTGCTATAGAGAAGAGTAATTCTTTCTGGTTTTATGTCTAAATATGCTTAGTCTCAAACAGGGTATCAGGAAAAGAGATGGCAGAAAAGGGTCTGGTTCTCCCCAGATAAATGAAGGGAATTTTCTAACCCTTGAACATATTCACAGGTGTATTAATTTATAACCAATGCTGCTGGACCACGGTCTATTACAGGAAACGTGTGTCCATCTCCACTCCCTTTCAGTAAGCG